CGAAATGCGCATCCTCGTGGATTCCACTGCTAGTCACCATCCACAAATTTGGTGACTGTTTAAACTATCTCACCGACTGAATTGATCATCAGCTGTTCCCACGTTTTCTGTTCAAATTCCATCTAATCAAGGCATCCTCATCAGTAGTCCACCTAGGCGAAATACATTTTAATATCATCCTTGTTAGTTTATTTATCCCCCCTAAATCATGTGCCTATAGAGATAGTACTTATAAAAAAGCATTTCAAAGAGAGAAAGAGTGAAAGTCAGCGAAAATAAAAGGAGAAACAACTCGAATTATGGTAGCCCATATATATATATATATATATATATATATATATATATATCTGTATCAGATTTTATAAATACTTATCAAATTTCAGTCATGAAAAAAAAACTATGATAAAATTATGCATATTTCTCTCTCTCACTAGGTTCTCATGAATTTGTAACAAGATCACACTATATATTATATTACCTGATGTTGAGAGTTGTACTAACAACTTACTACTAATTCACGTCATTATAATTATTTCCTAGTTATTTAATAAAGTTGATCATTTACCTATCTATCAATATGTACATGGCGTGTATTATTATTATTATCATTATTATTATTATTAAACAATTTTTAAAAATCTACTGTTTATATAAATATGCATCTTTGGTACACATGATCCAGTCAGTTAAACTAGATTATTGATTGTGATCTGCTGGGTAATTGTTACAGGTTTAGTATCACTTAGAGATGCTATTTGGAAACCAAGGAGTACTGGCCAGCCAACTGTTTAATCCTGCCTACAGACTATTCTGCGGTGTGCACCCACCGTCACGGTTCGAACCCAAGACCTGGTTACAGGGTGAGTTCGTAGAGAGCATTCAGCCACCCGGATCGGATTCGATGGCCCATGTATTATTATTATTATTGTTCCCTTGGGTTCCTAGTCGAACATAGGGCTTCAACTACACGTCTCCACTTGCTTCTGTCTTCTGCTGTACTTTTCACTTGCATCCATGTTGGTCCATACTGTTTCAGCTCCTCTTCACACGATCTCCTCCATGTCACCCTTGGACGTCCCACTCGCCGCTTACCCTCCGGGTTCCACTCGAACACTGGCCTGACGTGCGATGTCACCCAGCGGCCTCTTCAGCGAGTGTCTAAACCATCTCCACTTTCTCCCGCATATTTGTTGGGCGATTGGTTCTTGTTTTGTTTGTTCCCATAGTTTCTTTCCGGCCATCTGATCTTGAGTATAAAGCGAAGACAGTTGTTGATAAAGGTCTGCAACAGGCTGTTGGAAATATTCTTTGAGACACACTGGCCAAGTTTCTGATCCGTATAGAAGAACTGACTGACTTGACGTTTGTATTGAAAATCCGAATCATTTTGTTGTTGATGCAGGCTGAGTGACGAAGATTTCCAGATTGGTCCTATTTTTTCAGTAGTTCGCAATATATTTATGCTCAATCTCCAGCCAGTGTCGTAGTTGCAAGTAACTGTTCTCCTTTTCCTGACTTGGTTTAACCCCTCTGGTCATGACTCTTCACACTAGAATTCCAGGTAACTTCCTGTATTACAGCCATTCGCGCTAATGAGCATGAGACTAATTGTGTTGGTTTGCAAGAGATTTGTTACTGAAGAGTCCCAAACTGGGACGAAACATCTTTGCAGTACTTACTGATGGCTTTTATAACTAATATCGGCTTTCGATCAAACCTATAACCAATCAAACCTCTGTGAACCAACAGTTAATGAAAAATTATTTATTGATAAGATGGTGGTTTCAAGTAACGTTTTTGTGAGAATTTATTGTTTTGCTTGTTTACTACTTGCTTTCTAGTTAGTCACACATTGTGTGACAATATATATGGCACTCGTTTGCATATCAAATGTGTTGTTGTTGTCTGGGCTATTCATCATTCACTCCTCTGTGTCATAGTTACTCTTCACTGTACTAGAGAGATCTATCTACCTACCTACCTGCCTACTGTGATGAATTACTCAACTAACGTTTGTTGTTATTATTATTATTTCCTTTAATTCCTAGAGGAACATAGGGCTTCAGCCATGCGTCTCCATTGCGTTCGGTTCTCTGCTGTAGTTTTCACCTGGCTCCAAGTCTGCCCACACGCTTTCAATTCCTCTTCACATGATCTCCTCCAGGTCACCCTTGGACGACCAACTCGTCGCTTCCCTTTCGGGTTCCACTCGAGGGCTTGTCTAGTGATGTCACTTGCTGGTTTCCTCAGAGTGTGTCCAATCCATCTCCATTTCTTCCTGCCTATTTGTTTCACGATCGGTTCCTGGTTGGTTCGCTCCCAGAGATCTTTGTTGCTGATCCTCTCCGGCCATTTGATCTTGAGTATTGAGCGAAGGCATTTGTTAATGAAACGTTTGTTGTTATTTTACCATAATAGAGAGATATGTAAATGTCTAATATAATATTATGCAGATTTATGGTCAACATTCTTATAAAGTTGATAGTTAGTTGGAAATTTTAAAAGGCTAAACTGAATAATTGAGATTACTTATTATTTCTCTGTATCTACAATATTTTGCAAAACCGATGTGTGGTTTCAGTTGTTATTTGGTTTGCGCTTGAATGTTTTGTCTAGGTGCGTGTGTGTGTGTGTGTGTGCGGGACATCTGTTGATTCTGGGTTTGGCTGGAAACAGTATTCCTCTTATTTTGATGGCTAGGAGACATGTCGTGCATGCTGGGTCACTGCTTTCCTAGACGAGCAATGTTAGAGAACATAAGATTATGTTGGAAAAGGGCTAGGGGTGATCAAAACAAACCCTGGCGTCACAATTCATGAAGTCTTTGACACAGTTGGTTCGAGACATGTAAGCAAATGTAGACCACCTGCTTTTTTGGGGGAGGAGGGGGGTCCTCGTGATGTTAAGAACCAATGGCTTGAGGCTACTGGTGGTGATACGACTCAATAATCGTTGTCAATGGTACAGATACATTCGCCCTTTGTTGTCTTCGATATCCATTGAACCCTCATGGTATTCCACGGAATTATTCTTTCTCTCTTAATTTTCTTTTTCCATTATAGTTCTTTTAAATTTCTTTTCCCCACCTTTGTGTACTACGTGGAGAAAGTGTGACAACTCCAATTGGTGGTGGTTCACTTGTGTGTAAAGTTCTATCTCGAGACCAAGTCATTCAGTCAGTCAGCCGGTATTTTCTTGGTATTTTTGGAGTGAAGTTTACTTTTTCAGGATTTTCACGTATTGGTTTTGTAGGGATTTTTGTTTGATAGGTTGGGGGATTTCATCATGAGCTGACATCAGTTAAAGAACCATTGGAAAACCTGCAGGGAGTACTAGACAGCTGTCTCATCCGAGTTTGGGACTCTTCATCAGTACGCACCCCTGGGGTTCGAACCCAGGACCTTCTGGTTACAAGACAAGCTGGCTCGTAGACCCGACCCAGTGGCCAATCCATGAATTCTAACTTCTGCCAATTCACGACGTAGTGTGATCATTTCGCAATGTCTTCTTCAATGAGTTACTGCCTCGTCTTCAACCTGCTGTACCCTACTGGTCACGGCTTCCCACTATAACCCCAGGTGAACTGCCTGAATAGGGCCAGTCGCTAGTGAGCATCAAATTGATGAAATCTTGTGACCACACCTACACTTTGCAGTGAACTGTCAAAATAGTTTGGAGGCTTGTATTGATGACCGTAGACATCTACTCTTACTATAAAATGCCAGGTTTATAATGTCTTACAGAATACAGTCATCGCGACATCTAGATAACCAACAGCTTTTTGTGTTTCGTTATCCCAGTATTTTTCAGAATAGTTAATGCCCTGCTTGGGAAGTTTTACGTGAAGCAATAGAAAAGAGTGATGTTGATTGACTAAGATTGACTGAGTAGTTGTATACTGTGTAAATTGCTGATTTCATTTATGGTTTTACCAGTTCTCTCAAGAAATCAGATGGTTAGAACTGACTCGCTTCTCTGAGCTGAGTCAAACCAGATACACAGCTGATAGTCTGACCGATAGCTGCTACCTTGACATGGTGGTCGGGCTTGCATATCGCAATGATCCAACAAGCTACACTGGCTGGAACTATTGTTTCTGCAGGTCCTAACATCCAGGGAAGGTTGTTAGGATAGCGTTTAGGCTAAAAGCAGTTACCGGTATTGTGTAGGAATTTTTTTTACATTATGCTGGGGGTCTGTGGGCAAAGTCTTGCTGCTGGGGAACAGGGATGTAACAGAGGTGAGGTGTTTCCCTCAGATGACCAACATGCCAGCCACCTATGCTGTCTCTCCACTCTGCTGGAGAGACGGGGTTAGAAAAGGTCGACCCCAACAATTGTACATCCCGACTTACTTACCCTACGGTGGTCCGTAACCGGCGGTAAGTTTAGTAATACGGAACCAATCCCAGAAACCAGTTCGTACAGGTCGTGTGTGACCGGTCTCATGCACTTGTCCCCTGGGCTCTTCGGTCACGCAACACTAATCCTCTTTCTGCTTCAGGTACCCGAAGAATCAATGAAGTTCCAGGGTGTGGGCAGCCGGAAATTAACAACTGCGCACACACTTCCAAGAGCACACGAAGCCTTCCCGAGCATCATTCTCCTTTACCCACACAGCTGATAAACTCTTCCCTGAACGTACAAAACGGCCGTCCAGTGTTTAAATCACTTTGAACTGGCTAACAAGCTCCACTCACTGGTTGATTTGAGTGATATGCTACTACTCGTCTCAATCCATCAGTAGTATACAATTGGGTCATTTTGATTGCTTATTTTCGGTGTTGATTCGATGAACAAAGATTCGGTAGTTAACCTCTCTCTCTCCATCTAACTATAGTAAATAAACTTATCTGGTATGTAGTTATTTTACCACAGCTCTGAAATCCCACTCTTAAACATTCATTATATTGTGTTGTTTTGTGGATAATCTCGTCCCAACGTGTTTTGCTTCATCGTATAACTCCAATGTGTTTTATTTTGTCTACATTATTTATATAGTCAACAAAGTCTATACACCTTGTTGAAGGCCTACACAATTCGACATCCAGAGAAAGGTTATTGTCAAGGTCAAGCACCGTTAGCAGCTGTTCTCCTCATGTTTATGCCTGAAGTGGACGCTTTTTGGACATTTAATGAAATTTGTGAACGTTATCTAGAATCTTATTATGATGATGGTTTGGTAAGTTGTACTGTTTTTTCACTTTTTTTTAATTTCTCAGTCTCGTGGTGATCTGTTCAAATCAATTGGGCTGACTATTTTTCCACAGAGTACATAGAGATCGTTAAATTTACCCACTGTTATACTTTGTTGTAATCACCTCTATTTGCATCTTTGCGAAACAGTCTGTAATCATGTGCATTTTTGAAATGCCTTTCAACAAAAAGCTTGATCTGTTCTGAATAGACAGATACATCGGAGGTTGGAGACTGACTGAATAGTTTCAACGTAGAACTTTGCACAGATATGCAGCAGTTCGAGTTGCCACACTCCCTCCATCTAACACAAGAGATGATAAACAGAAATATGAGGCGAAAAGGATAGTAATATGGAAGAACAACACAATTTTATTAGATATTCAATATTACAAAGAGTGAATGCATCAATACCAGCCAACTGTCGCCAGCCTTCATTGGTTTATACCATCCTGAGAATCCCAACTAGTCAGGTAGTCCACACCTCGATACATGGCGGCTGGCTTAACCTAACTGTGGTGGATTTCATTGACTGATGAAGCCATGTTTTCGTTTGACCACCACTAGCTTTCTCTTTTCTAACCTAATCCATCCTATGTAAGTTAAGATTGCCCGTCGAGGAAGGCGATGGCTAGACATTCATGCAACTGCTTCACAACCTCGTCAATTGATTTCCCCTACCACCTACTTAGCACTCGACCGAAGTCTCACCTCAATATTGCTCACCTTATTCTACCTTGTTAACACGGGTGATAGAATGCAGATATCTATGATGAAAGACAGCTATCCAGCCTTTTGATATCTTCCACTTTCTAAGGTCAAGTCTCACTCACAGCCATGAAGGGGGACGGAACAAAGTGGCTGGTGAACAGTTCATACGTCCCTCGGTCGATAGCCATCCGAATATCGCGTCTACTAAGCGAAAGATGGTAAATGCGAGACGAGCCTTGTCTATCGGTGCTGAGATTTCGTCAACGATCAACCCGTCTGACGTCAATGTAGTTCAGTCGCGTAGCATCACCTTACATTTAACAGCAGGATCGAATGGCATGCCAAATATTCGAAGATTGCTGCACAGCTTGAGGGGTTGAGAAGACTGCATTTTGTCAGCGTCTTCGTGGGGGTTGGAGCATGTTACAGATACAATGAAATTCTATGGAATGATATACTGCAGATTACCTTTTTACGTGAAGATTTCTGTATAGAGAGTAGATAACCACAGGCTGTGAATCTTTTACTGTATTACGAGTATTCAGTTATTGGTAAATAAAGAATTCAGAAGATTGTGACTATTGTTTGATTGCTGTTTTTCATTAGGTGATACTCAAGTTAACTGGTCAGTTAGTGCCTATAAAACTGGATTGAAATGTTCCTAATTGATTAATTAGCCTTTTGTAGATTTATCTCAAAGTAAATTATTCTAAATATAGCTTATATTATTTAAAAGTGATAAACTTATAATCCCATCAAGAATTTGTAATGTTTATTTGGTAATTTTTTGAACAAAGATTGGGATATATTTGTTTGCTGAAAAATGCTAGAAGCCACTTGGTGTTTAAACTTTCCCACAGAGCCTACCACTCGTTAATCTGAAGATTTGACTTCTAACTGTTTAAATGAATTATAGTAGTTCACGTTGAATAAAGCTGAATAATATGCGGCTGTGGCTGACCTGACTGGTCTAGGTAGGTGCTCGACTTTATCTGGCTACATGAGAACATTTGGAGAGGAAAACTGAAGTCTACTCACCCTTTTAGCCGTATGAGGTCGCATATAAGGACCCTTAGACCTAAATTTCGTGCTGGTTGTGATACTGGGTGATGCAAGTTTGTGTCTAAGGAGACGTCAGTCCCTTCGAGGTGGTAGCAGGTACGCCTTTTGACGAGTGTCCAATAATCACCAAATCCTGTTCCAAGACTTCACAGAGGTTGACCTCCAGAACAAGCTCGTCGTCTAACATCCTTATTCAATAACTCTCTATCATAACTACTTAATTCACAGAATTATTTCCATTATTAACAGAACTGTAAGTAACTTGCATTTACATTACAGTTATTTCTTTTGCTAGTAAATAACCACTCTGATTTTCTTTTGGAAATTTATGTATAGGAACGGGTACAGATAGACGGGGAAGTTTTGTACGCTCTTCTGAAGTCATTACATCCTTCTATATACAAATTCTTGGTGAGTTTCTTTTATTATTTCTTCAATTCTTGGTTTTTACACCTCAATTTGTTTTCACCTCTCACATCTTATATACTCTAGCTGACATTATCTATGAGATGGTTGGAGGCAATCGGCAGTAAGTATTTGACTTAGGTTTCGTTAGCAAGGTGTATCTGCAATCTTGAAGGAACTCATGTCCATTCTGAGATCCGAACTCGGGTCACTCAGGGCTGTCTGCAGTCAGAGACGTTATGATTGACCTCCTTTTGGGCTATAAGGGATACTTTCATTGGACAGCAGGTAGTAACCTAAAGTCATTCGTCTAGTCCTTCTTTTTGATGGAGTTCATTCTGCACCAAACAAAGGACTAGACACATGACATTAGTTACTACCCAGTGTCCAGTAAAAGTAACGTTACCTATGTTACCATGGTGACTGTTGAAATGCATAAAATAGTGTCCAACTCAGCTTATGAATTTATTTCAAAATTCACACTAATCGTAGACTAGTTACACAATTCACTTTAGGGAGCTTAACGTTGAAAAACACTCAGAAATTGGATTGATTTCACAAACTTGGTGTTGTTTCTGTTGTATGTTGGGGATTATGTAATAGTGCTGAATTATGAGTTCAGTACTAATTATTGATCACCGACTACTTCTGATCCCCAGAGCCCACGAAGGTGAAAATAGGGAACAGACAGACTGGCCCATACCGGGGAGAACAATTCCACTTTACTATACAAAAATACATAATACGCAAACATTATGCATCTCTGAAGGTTGGTTGCATAAAGTCAAGCTTCTAGGCTGTCCCACCGCATTGTAATAAGTATTCTGCCTTGACCCAATGGTTGGATTTGTACAAACTGGTTTAAGCCGGTCTAAGCCTGTTTTAGCCCCCATGAATGACCTGGTACGGCCGTGGGTGGGTGGTAGACTTCGGTCTTCTTCAAATGCTCTCATATGACCACGCGTTCATAGCTTCTAACAGGTAACTCCTGTTCACTGCCTTCATAAGTGTTCCTTACAAAGGTTCATGGGCGAGTACGAACGCCCAGCTCTTAAAACCGGACTTATGGACTTGCAAGTCTTCCTAGAGGAGCTGGGAGACACTAGTTTCTTCAGAATACGAACGAACTGATTGACGTATGAGCCTGTTTTGGCAACCGAGAATCATGGGAATGCGGATCCTGAAGCTGACCGACTGTCTTGTGGATCAGATTTCCAGAAAAAGGGATGGTCTCTTAAGGCAATCACCTGCCTCGGTCTGGGTCGGTCGGAGCACTGTCTTGGTGCTCGCACAAACTATGAGTCTGTTTTCTCTTGTCTCATCTCTTCGTACCCATAATGCTCTAAGCTTGCGTTTTCAGTAATAATAATAATAATAAATCAGCTGGTATGGACCTGTTCGACTTGACCTGTATAGAGATGCCACATGTCGAGTAATCTACAACGGAAAACTCAGCGAAGAGTTTGTAGAGAAGACAGGAGTAAAACAAGACTGCCTACTGTCACCGATGTGATATTCTTGGTTGTGGTGGACTGGATCATGCAACAGACTGTGGGTCTGAGAAGATAGGCATATGTTAGATTGACGAAAATACCCTAGGAGATATCTGTACTTTGTGGATTTTTTTTACTCCTTTACGTTCCCAGTGGAACGTAGGGCTTCAAGCTACAGGCTTGAAGTTTCGGTAACAGTGGTATTTATTTTTACGGGATGGGGTTGCTAGCCTCATTCCCAACCTTCCTTCTTTACCAGTCTTACTACTGGCTTAGTGAGGTAAAGGAGTGCGTCGTTTGCCGGGAATCGAACCCCTGAGCACATGTGGCGTGGTCGGCGAGCATTCTACCACTGTGTCACCAACGCATTTTGTGGATGCTTTATGTCAAATATCATACAAACTTGAAAATCTAAATGCAGAAACCAACAAACTGGTAGAAGTTTGTAGACAGCTAAGACAGGAATTCAAATGAATATAGAGAAGGCAGAGATGATGAAAGGTACCTGATCAACACCAAAATGCACCAATTACTATCAACAGGAGAAAGTTGAAGAGAGTTACTTCTTTCCTCTACCTTAGGCAACATTTTATAAACCATAGGTGGCGCGGATAAGGGCCTTCATGAATCGGAAATCATTGTGAAAATCTACTGCACTCAGCACAAAGAACAAGATTCGGGTTTTCAACACACACACAGATACACACACCCACACAATTGACTTGAAATCTGTCCCACAAGGTGGTGAAGCTGTGTTCCCTAATTTTTTCTTGTGACCAAAACAGGTTCATACGCCCTCTCATCCACTGAGATTTTGGAGCAGTTTTCAACTCCTCTAGGTACGCTAGCATGCCTACCAATTTTCTGGTTGTGTATGCTCTCCAAACGTTCGAATTCGTCCTTTCACTTTTATGACAGACACACGCGTATAAGACTCGCCTGACAGAAGTAAGTTAGAGGTAGGCTACGAACGCCTGGTGGTTATATGTGACAGTATTTCGAGAGGAGCACCGAAGTCTATCCACCTTCAGCCCCCTCCCATACCAAGTCGTTGGTCTCGAACTACTCAAATCAATTAGCAGTAGTAGTAGTAGTATTTATCGTGTCGTATTGCACACTATACTTACTTTCTTGGTACTATCTCTCATAAGTATCAAAGAGGTTATATAATAGTACTTTGTTAGTGTGAGTGTGCATGTATAACCTGAATAGTATGCGCTCTAGAAGCCAGGCTTATCTGAATACATAATTAATCAAGTTAGTATTAGTGTGTGTGTATATATATATAGTTTATATTGTAAAAACAATGACTGAGTAGTAGTTAGTTAGTGTGCATAGGATTAATTAAGCAGAATGATACATATTCTATTAGATGTACAGTTAAATAATATCGAATAATATAAATTACGTGTATTATACATTCAAAGTTCTTATAAAATCTCTAAAAAGCTTTATATTAATTAATACACACATATATAAATCAACCTATGAACGCATATAATTGCGTGACTAATTGCATCTATCTGTTTATAGTATAATTCGGAATGATATATGTATGTTATATATATATGTACATAATACTATAATACTGTAGCAAAATATAGATAGATAGATACATAGAGAATGAACAGTTTAAAGTCTATTTAGTCGTAAAGTTTGAATTTGTTCTGTTCTTGTTTGTTTGTTTGTTTTTGTTGTTCGAAAATACCAACCAACCGACCTATCTACCTATCTACCTCTTCATTCTGCTTAGCTTTGTTTTATGCTGTGATATCTCTTATTTTGTGGCACATTCAATATTGTTTACTATTTGGAAAAAAAGGTGACACTACATGCTTATTTGAATCAATTTTTAGCCTTTGTTGTAATATTCATCTTTTCCTAGAATCTTGGGGGTAGGGGGGCAGGGGGTTGTTGTCTTAAGGTATAGAAATGTATAGAAATGCGTGAGTTTTGTTCGTAGCACTGTATCACAGCACTTACAGTAAGTACTACAACTAATGAAGTGACTATAACCCTCAGCCCGTACCATGTCGCTTATGTGGAGGGAGGATTACGGAAAAATACAGAAGCGACAACAATCTCACGATTGAAGCCTAATTAATGTATACAGAAGGATTCTGTGGGACTTCACCTTGCACATTGCCTTAGTAATTTCTCGTTTCTTTACACTGACCATTTCATTATTTATTCTGTCTTCTTATACTATCTAATTTGTGGATGGTGACTAGCAGTGGAATCCAGGATGCGCATTTCGTCCTATTTGGGACACGTCAGCTGGATGTACCTGCATTTCTCAGTGAGTGAGGATGTTCCCACCGAGTCCAAAATAGTGGGACGAAATGCGCATCCTGAATTCCACTGCTAGTCACCATCCACCAATTAAATACTAATTAAATGCCCAGACATCGTCGAAGCATCGGGACAAGAAACCGACACGTCAACCTGAGACCGAGCACTTCGTTCCAATCAATCGACGGGAAAATCAAAAATCCAATTAAATCCTTATACTATCCTTAAACATTTTTCATCTTTCTAACACTTTTCACCGTCTAATCAGGACATGAACTACATCATTCTTGTCCCCATTAAATTTTCAATCTAGTGAGTTTGTAGAAGATTTAGAGCACACGAAATGAAATTGAATTCAACTCACCCATAGTATTTATTGTTCTTGCTTTATGAAAATTTAATAAAGGGAATTAATTGTATGAAATTGGTGAAATTGTTCCTATTTTTTCGCGGTGATAAGGAAGCAATACATTCACGTCATTCCACTAGGTCAGTCACACGGAATCTAACATCCCTACACGGATAAGATTAAAATTTGGAAAAATTAGGGGTTGATTAATTGACAGTGTATAACATGCTTTGCTAAAGCATTCAAAAGACATAGGACTATGAGTGAACTGGTATCTGAACGTGTGCGTCGGTGGGTTCAGCGGTAGAACGCTCACCAACCAGGCATGTGGTCTGGGGTTCGAATCCCGGCTGTCGCTAGACAGTGAGACCAAATGTAACAACGGAAGACAAGGGCCAGGCAACAGATCGTTTATTAAGGAAATCAACACATATTTATAGCCTTTCATGTACATTATTATAGATTATTGTTATCAGGAAACAGTCTTCTGAATGGTTGCTTCTCACTGAAAGTTAATCTTTCATCTCTTTGTAGCTGTTTTCTGAATGTCAGATCATCCATATGCTAACTGTATCCTCCTACTCAAAGTCTGCTATGGTTGGTTGTTGAATCAGTCTTTGTTCTTATTTTTTTCACGACCAATATTGGGGACGTAAACATTGACGTAAATTACTGTCTACCAATTTGGCTAGCAGCCAGCTCTCATCACAAGCCTAGTGACATGCCCTTTTTCCTACGAAAGCATGTCTCAGTCAAGGAAAGTCTTCCCTTTTACCTTTCTAACCCTGGAGGTTACGCATAGTGTCAATGTGACCTATTTTCTGGTTTTACCTTATGTGTATGATACTAGAAAGATATTTGTCGTAAAAAAT